CACCCCCCTCAACTCTATATAATACATACAGGGTGGTATGTACCTGTACACCTCTCAGAAAACAAGAGAGTACAGAGTGTGTACCTAGAGGCCAGCTGCCTCAGAAGACGTATCCAAGTTAGGCAAGAAGAGGGCATCACCTGTCTGTAGACAGCTGCTCGTGACCCATCATGAACTGCAAGTTGTCGATGACCACATGACAAACATCATAGACATAGACTGCATGTTGCATTGTGTCTATTACAGACCTGGGAAGAAGAAGAGGCAATGAACTCAAGAGTCAATTACAAATAGCCTCCAGACACCTCAGGCAAAACAGCTGGTCTGCGGGCAATTTGTTCTTCCCTTCCACTCTTTGAAAACCCTAAACCTATCTAAGGAGACCTGGAAGTAGTTCCCACTAGAGTTGGAAAGGGAACCAAAGGTGCTAAGTGCTGGGATTTGTCTGGAAAAGCAAAGTGGCGGGGCTATAAGGATCTCACCTGATGCTCTGCTGTCCATGGAAAGTCATGAAATAGAGAGGCAGGTCCTCAAAGCGGTCGGCCCACTCTTCATATTTATCCAATTGTTCTTCTAGACGCCCCATGGCAAACTGCGTCAGCATGACCCGGGCTAGTCTCACGTTGCTGATCTCAAAGCTACCCCATAGTGTGTTCACCCCCTGGGTACACAAATCCAGGGCATACTCACTGATGAATGTTGTCTTTCCACTGCCTGTTGGCCCTGTAGTAGGGATGAACACAGTCTTGGGTAAGGAGAAAAGTCCCTTAAATCAAAACACAGATTAGAGCTATAAAGCTAAGAGGGGAAGCCCCCTTCTCAACATTTTCAATGGCCTAAACCCAGATTTTTGACACCTGATTCTCTGTCCCTTTAACCCAGTGATTTCTCAGAGGGTTACCTGTGAAGACTGTCAGCTCGCCTTTCCGGTGCCCCTTCAAGAGACGATTGAGGTCTGGAAAGCGGCTCCAGGGGACACCAGCTGCTTGCTCCACATTTGATATTTCTCCTAGCACCTCTTCCCGAAGCTGCTGGAAGGACACAATAGATTTGTGCCAGGCAGGCAGGGCAGTACGAAGAATACGAGAAAGATTTAAGCCTTGGTTCATGGCCTCAAGGGGACGGGGCTGTTGGTCTCCAGGACGCACCAAAGAGCATCGCTTGGGGTTCAGTTTTCGGGCAAACAACTTGGCAGCTTCCCAGGACCGAAGATCATCCCCTAACCAGAACACAATCCTTCGGAACTGTTCGAGGTAAGGGAGTAAGGCAGGGGGTAAGCAGATGGTTCCTCGGGGTAGGGCAAGGGTGGGCAGCCCTGTAGACTGGTTCAAGGCCAGGCTGTCCAGCTCACGACTGGTCAGAACCACCTCAACATCTCGACGGCTGATCAGTGGTAATCCAAACAGGTTGTGGTAGGCACCAGGCCGGGGAATAGTGGTCTCCACGTAGTGTACTCCATCTCCCTGGCCTTCAGCCCCTAATAGCTTCAGACCTCGTAATCCTAAATCCCGAGGGGAAAACCAGGGAAAGACCAGACTGCGAGCAGGTCGTAGGTATCGAACACTGAAACGCCTGAGTGTTTCATCTGTCACTTTGGTAAGGCCAAATATCATACGAGCCAACTGGGCTTCCTCTGGGTCAGGCAGCTCCCAGAGCGGTATTGCTCGGTCCCAGATCCTCCGGATCTCCTCAATGTCCTTAGCTTCTGGAGCCTCAGTAAGCAGGGCCCCCTCTCTGGCCCCATCCCCTCGTCCCTCCACACTTGCTTGGAAGTCTTCCCAGCTCCCCTCTGCTAGGCTAGTCATGCAGAGAAAGCGGCCTGTGGTCTTGTCAATGAAGAGACTGAAGGAAGTGGCAGCACTAGTCTGATCCTTGGGCTCTGAGGACCCCACAAAAGGGCTAGGTGCTCGAAGGCAGCTGTAGCCATCCTGAAAGGGGATTCCATGTGCCCGTAAATACTGCCGAATTTCAGTTGTAGTTAGAGGCAACACTGGTATCTCCAAGGCTGGAAGAGCCTCCTTCCTGTACCTGCGACGAGAAGAGCCTGGGACCAAGCTTCGGGGCAGGCCCCTCCGACCCATCCACACCCCACGCAGAGGCAGCAAGATCCGGAGTGGGTATGCACCCCGGAGGAGGACCCACATTTCTAGTGGAGTAGCAAGTCACTACTTGAAAAGCCTTAAATGCCTGGTTTGGGTGCCTTCATTAGGTCAAACACTAGGGAACACTCCACAGAGTTCACTTTTAGCTTGCTTATCTCCCCTAAAACTTGTCATAACATCCCCCTGAATCTTCCTCTGCGTTTTTACATTGCCACTTCACATCTCTGCCCATCTACATGACCCTTTCACATCTATATATCCCTCTATAAAGGCTCCCTTACCTCTATCGTCAGTCCTTTATGGTTTCTCTCACCTCTGTGACCCTCTGCAGTCCTCGTCGCTACCTATCCGTATCATTTCTTCACCTCTACCACCCCTCCACGCACTCTTCTCGTAGTACTCATCTCTACAGTCACAGCCTTCTGCATCCTTTTTGTGGTCCCTCTGTTTTAGGACCCAGATGGAGACCCTCTTCGCACTCCTTCCCCTTCACTGGGACCTTCCACACGGCTAGGGCGCTACTCTACGACTCCCGCCAGTCTGAACCCCAAGAACGCGACCCGCTCCTCTCTCCCGTGTCTTTCCTCTTCTGTTTCTAGGAGTTCCACGGTTCCGGCCCCTGGCCCCTCATCTCTCTCCTTCGGCCCACAACGTGGGTCGTTTGCACGCGCCACTCGCGGTAACCTCGGAAGCAAAACTCTCTGGAGCGCTAAGGTCCCCGGAACCGGAAGTTCGTTTTCAGTCCCGCCCCTACCTCCTGCAACTGGGCTCCGCCACCTCCGAGCAGTAGCAATGACTGCGCGCGGGACTCCGAGTCGCTTTCTGACCAGTGTTCTCCACAACGGGCTGGGTCGCTACGTGCAGCAGCTACAGCGTCTCAGTTTTAGCCTCAGCCGAGACGCGCCCTCGTCCCGCGGCGCCAGGTGAGTGCGGGAAAGCGCACGGGGGTGGAGAGGGAGTAAGGATCGCGCCGGGTCAGGGGTCACCGAGCTCATTCTTCCCGGGTCTCAGGGAATTCGTGGAACACGAAGTGACCGACTTCGCCCGACAGAACCCAGGGGTCGTAATATATGTGAACTCGAAGCCGTGCTGCGTGCCCAGAGTAGTGGCCGAATACCGTGAGTGGCGCCGGGTTAGGGCTGGATGGCGGGCTCCGAGCTCGGTTCTCTAGCCTCCCCATGCTTGACACCTGACCTGTTTGCTTCCGTCTCCGCCCTGCCAGTTAACGGAGCTGTACGAGAGGAAAGCATCCACTGCAAGTCGGTCGAAGAGATCACGACTCTGGTGCAGAAGCTGGCAGACCAGTCGGGCTTGGACGTGATCCGCATCCGCAAGCCCTTCCACACCGACAATCCTAGTATACAGGGCCAGTGGCACCCTTTCACCAACAAACCGACAACCTTCCTGGGGCTGCGACCCAGGGAGCTCCGGGATCCTGTCCCAGCCCAGGTGCAAGCGCAGTGAAGAAGAGTTGCCCTACCAACGCCAACCCTAGACCTGAGACTGTCGCCCTAATAAAGTGTTTTTTTCTCTTTTTTCCACAGTTAGGGGTCAGTGACCTTGTGAACTCTCTAATTCTAATCCAGTTGGCATCCCCAAAACCTGAGATGATAGAACTTTGAAGTATTGTACAGGGTCTTTGTTTTCTGAAATTCAAATTGATTATAGTAATCTCAAAACACAGGGGATTCAGGGCTGGCTTCTGAAGAATCCTTGATGTCCTATTGCCACAACCTTTGAGCTGTTCTCCACTGTGACCAGACATTGGGCAAGAAACCTCTTGTGTGATTGTGTACAGATTAGAAAACTGAGGTCATTAAACTTATCATCATACTTGAGTTCTTACTTCAAAATGTGTGCATTTTAAAGCATAAGCTGGAGATTTCATTATTCTAAAACCAGAAGCAGAACATATAACCCTGTATCATTAGGATCAAAGGCAATGTTCTAGGCAATTATCTAGATAATTGTTCTAGGCAGTTATCTAGGTCTGACTCCTGGAGGGAGTCCTGGGTGATTCTCATACTAGGTTCCTCATAACAAGCTTTCCCTAGTCCCAGCTCCATCCCCACCCCCACCTCCACCCCCAAGACCCCTCTTTGTGCAGCTATGAATCCATATCATCCCTTGGACCAGTGGGTGGGAGGTACTAGAAAGCTGTTTAGAAGAGCAGGAAGACTGATAAATAAGGAGCATCCCTTGAGCATAATTTTTTTTTTCTTTTTAAATTTTTTTTTTAGTTGTTGACAGATCTTTATTTTATTTAGTTATAGTTGGTACCAAGAATTGAACCCAGTGCCTCACACATGCTAGGCAAGCGCTCTTCTGAGCTACAACCCCAACCCCCCCTTCCCGCAGCTTAATTTTAAAAAGGCAGGGAAGCTGTGTGTGGTGGTGCATGCCTATAATCCTAGTGGTTTGGGAGGCTGAGGCAGGAGGATCACAAGTTCGAGGCTGGCCTCAGGACTTAGTGAGGCCCTAAGTAGCAACTTAGTTACTACTGTCTCAAAAATAAAAATAGCTGGGGATGTAGCTCAGTGGTAAAGTTCCCCTGGGTTCAATCCCCCAACCCCAAAACAAAAAGGCAGGGAATCAGGCATGGTGACATGTACAAAAAGTAAAAAGTCGGAAAACCCTTGTGTGAATTCTTCAACTGCTGTGATTTTCTTGTTTGTCATGACCTTAAACCACAGTCAATGAATAATGTGAGCCTTAATAAAAGGGACTGTGTGCCCACCCAGTACAGCCATGATGGAAGCTAAGGATCTCAGTTTCCTTTGCAAATAGTTGTATGGAAAGCAAGGCCAAGCCTGGATGCAAGAACCACTGTAGCACTCTCTCCATAAGCTCAGAGCCTTACCCTGAGGACCAGGGCAAGTCAATCAGACTACTCAGAGATGTGGGGAAAAAAGATATTTATTAACCAGCATTGGGGGAGGAGCTGAGCCCAGGCTCCCCACTCTCACATGCCTATTCCACCCACCTGGGGATGAGTGGGGACATTCCTAAAGAACTGCAGCCGTTCTCACAATAAATACATTCATTGTGGGGTGGAGGTGGGAGAGGTTGGGTGAAGGGCAGTAAAAACCCGTGGGATTCCACGTTCTCAGCTACAAAAATAACAGTCATCCTCACCCAATGGGAATGGGGGAGCTCAGAATTGATTGTCCCATATGGGCCTGAAGACTTCAGAGGCCCCTGGACTCTGAAAGTGTCCCGGTGAGGTAGGACAGGGGTGGGAGCCAAGCATCCAAACTCCCAGCCTCTGCCCTTTGCATAGTTCCAAGAACGGGCTTAGTGTGCCAGGTGAGACATCAGTCCTCTTCTCTCCCTGCTGTGGCTGAGGGGGAGAAAATGCTTGGTCCCCAAAAGGGAAGCTGGCTCATTGAGTGCAGTGTTGGTCACCCGTCCTAGGGAAGGGTCGGCAAAGACAGCTAAATGGGAGGGGGATCTCCCTTTGAAATGTCCATGGACCAAGCCTGACAGACACAGGTCCAAGGCAGCAAGGGGAGGCTCAGAGGTGCACGTGGGTGGAAATGTAAGCACATGTGATGTGGGTGTGTTACCACATATGCATAGGGAAAGGACATGCCTAGAGCTCTGTTGCTCTTCGGTGTGACCAAGGGGAGTGGGGAGGCAGACTCACAAGGGCTGCACAGGAAGGCAGAAGAGGGGAATGATGCAGTCTTATCTCCCAGGCTGGCCTGATCCCAAGCTCTTGCCAATGGCATCAACACATTGTGGGGGCGGGGAGGGGGGACTGGGGAAGATAACTAGACAGGGATGTGACAATTGGAAGGGTACCCCAAATCCAGAAGAAGAGATGAAACACAAGAATGTAGCAGGAGAGGGTAGGGTGGGGTGGGGCACTGCAGCCCAGCTGATGAACATTCTTCCATGAGCACATGTGAATGTATGCAGGGCTCAGGTGGCTAGCAGAGGTCTTATCTGGCTTCAGGATGATCTACCAAACAGGGCCATGCAGAGGGTGGTGACATTGAGGCCATCTGGATCTGCAGAGCCCTACCTGGGAGAAAGGAAAGGTTGGGCAGATAATGGAAGCAGAGGATGGAGTAAGTACTCTCCTCCCAAGCATTTAGGTTAAGGGAATAGGAACTGTGTCTGGATCAGCAGAGCACCTGGTCCCCAGGGAGCACCTACCTCTGAGGAGCACCGGTTGGCCTGGGCTGCTCACACATAGGTCTTGGAGACTGAGAAAGGGGCTTAGGCTGGGCCTGACTGGCCAGCCCTACAGAGACATCAAAAAGGTGGGAGAAGGGCATGGAGTAGGGGGTGTGAAGGAGAGTGGCTATGTTGGGGAGGCAGCAGCCCAGCCTGGGGCACACAGGCTGGCTTGGAAGAGAATTTGTTCCGGAGGCTGGGCTCAAACAGAGCTCTCATCTAGCTGTTCCACGAGCTGCGTGTGCTTCCTCTTCTCCAAGATGCGGCTGAGTTCCTCAGCAAAGGAGCAGGGCCCTGCTGGCATTCCATTGTTGCTCTGCCTCAGGAGCACATAACTGTTGCCATTCATCCTCCGCAGCCGGCTGGGTAGTGCCACCAGCCCATTGGTCAGCTCAGTCGGTGGTGGTGGAGGTGGTGGGGGCGGTGGAGCTGGGGCACCCTCCCCAGGGATGATCTGGAGGCAGCTGCCCTCCAAGCCCCCAGCCCCCTCCCCATCATCACCCTCATCTTCCTCTCCAGGACATTGGCCTGAGACTGTCTGCAACTGCACAGCAGAGCCCCCTACCCGGCTAGCCCGACCCAGTGAGTATTTCCGTCTGCGTCCTCGTCTGCCTCCCCGAAGACAAGCAACATAGAGGAGGGAGGAGGCCAGGATGAGGCAGAGGCCACCAAGTGCAGCAATGGCTAGCACATAGAGCAGCCTCACGTCTGGTGCCAGCTGTGCCCCAGGCATGGCAGGGGCTTGTGGAGCTGGGGCAGGAGTGGCAGGCCGGACTGTGAGGCTGTAGGAAGCCAGCAGGGTACGGAGGTCATTCTCCTCTGCATAGCAGCTATAGTTTCCACTGTGCTCAGGCTGTGTGTCTGTCACTAGCAGCCCATCCACGCCCACACGGTAGCCATCCTGCCCATCACTTAGGCCTTTGCTCCCATTGAGTAGCCACAAAGCACGGGCCAGGTTGGATGGCTGGTCACAAGGCAGAAGGACATCATCACCCCGGAGCACAGAACGGGTCTTCAGTGGTGGTGGTGGCCCTGGGAAGGAGGGTGGAAAAGTCATTACCTACTCATCCCAGGAGGGCATTGGAAATGGCAGGAGTGGCAGGCCGGACTGTGAAGCTGTAGGAAGCCAGCAGAGTACGGAGGCCATTCTCCTCTGCATAGCAGCCATAGTTTCCACTGTGCTCAGGCTGTGTGTCTGTCACTAGCAGCCCATCCACGCCCATACGGTAGCCATCCTGGTGCCAGGATGAGACACTGGTACTAAGCATAGAGTCTTAGAATCAGTGACAGCTTACCAAGCCCGTGTGCTTACACTCCCACATGGGTTCCCGTGACCCTTCTCAGGATGCAGGTGGTGCCTGGGCCCATTTGCCTTCTCTTCATGCTCCCATGCTCTCTTGTGATTTCAGTCTCTGCCATCTGCCAGTGACTCCTAATCTCTACCTCCTGCTCAGACCTCTCTCTCCTGAGTGCCAGACTTGACTACCATATGCTAGGCATCTCCACATGAAATCTTTTGGGCACCTAACTAAGGCCAAAGCCTCACTTCCAAACTAAACCAGGTTCTTGCTTTGCATTGCTACCGCAATAAATGGTGCCACCAGCTGCTCAGTTTCCTTTGCCTGTCTTTCTTTCCCACCTTTATATCCAGCTCTCATCAGAATCTCTCTGATCTGTTCACTTCTCTCTTTCCACAACTGCCAAGCCATTCAGGTCCCCATAGAACCCATTCTCTAAGCAGTAGTTGGGTGATCTGAAAGAACCACAAATCTGATTCATGCCACTCCCCTGCCTACAACTCTTCAGAGTATCCTTTTGCTTTTCAGGTAAAGACCCAGATCCTCAGCATGGTATTGGACCACCTCTCCAGCTTCTTCTGATGCTCTAACATGTATAGCTCCCTCTACTTAGGTGTCATTGCCCTACCCCAGGACCTTCACCTACCTGGTTAATTTGTGGGAGACAGCATAGCATAATAATCTAAAGAACAAACTGAATCAGATGCTGGGGGTTAGGTTTAAATTCTGACCTTGCTGCTTAATAGCTGAGTACCTTTAAGCAGTTTACTTATATTTCTTGTGCCTGAGGGGTTGTCCCTGAAGAGGATAATAATGGCACTTCTGTCATAGGCACTGTGAGAATAAGTGTACATAATGATATGTGTTTAGATCAGTGCCTGGCACATACTGAGTACTCAGTCCATGTTAGCTATGATCATTCACATCTGTTCTTCCTTCACATGTCACTTCATCTTCCTTGGGGAAATATCCACTACCCTTCTGAACCTTGTCATAGTTATAATTATTAATAATTATCGTTGGTTATTTTTGTGATCATTTGAGTGCTTGCCCCACCACCACCACCACTTGGCTATAAGCTTCAGAAGTGACAAGACACTTGACACTTTCTTTTAATCCCATGCTGGAGATCCATCACAGGATCTCACACATATTGCTCTACTACTGAGCTACATCCCTAGCCTGACACTTGAACCTGTTTCCTTGTTTATAATTTGTTTGAGCTATTGAGCTCTTATTCTGTGCCAGGCTGTGTGCTGGATCATCCTCACTGAAGGCACATAGATGCAGCCACTCATGCACAAACATGGCCATACAAGTGATGGTAAATGGCCAAGAGGACAGGCTCTGCAGCCAGACCCACACAGATCCAAGAGTGTCACTTACCTGTATCCCTGCTGCCTTCACAGCCTCTGTTTCCTCTCTCTATGTCCTGTATCACTGCTGTCCTGGGGACAGAAGGTCAGGGTTCATGAACAAGGCCAACTGGGCTTTAGTTTCCCCAGTGAAAGGGTTGATGGGGCTGTGAACCAATAACTAGCTCCCACTTCCCCTATGACTGAGGCCTTTCTCCTCCACTTGGGCCACATGCAACCCTCTCCACTTCACCTGCTACTCTGGGACCTGTTGGCTGTGGTGGTGGCTGCCATGCAGGCATGGATGCTGGGGTTCCAGCCACAGTAGGGGTCCCGTGCTAGGATGCAGTCATAGCAGGAACGGTAGCGGGAGCAGCTGGACAGTGGTAGCTGGATAACTCCACTAGGGGCCCCCACGTAGAGGCTATGCTGGAAGCCAGAGAGGAGAGCTGGTTGACAACATCCCCCACCCCATTTACAAAACACACACAGCCTTGCCCAGCCTCCCACTCCCCTTGTTTCAGCAAGGACTTTTTGGAGGTCAGAAATCAGAGGTACCTGCATTGGAGATATGACTAGATTGTCCACAGACTGGGGCTCCCTGAACACTTGTGTCTCTTCGATAATGTGCATCCCAGAGCCCAGGACAACGGCCTTGTGGATCCAGCCATCAGCTGCCGTGGAAAGGGATGAAAGTCAAACCCAAACAATGTGATCTTCCCTCAGCACCCCACAGGAGGCCTGATGGGAACAGCTCAGGAATCATGATGTGGGGAACAAGGATTCAGCAGTAGCAGTGGGAACTCAGTACACTGGGAACTCCCAATAGTCATGGCAGGAATGTCTGGGATGTTTAGAAACATTAATGATCAAAGCTAACAGGGACCAGGGATTTGGGTTAGAAGCACCTGTGCCCAGAAAGAGCAAGTCATAGATGGCTCCAGAAGGTGTGGTGACGGGTGTCCCTGTGAGGTGTGTGTAGCGCACGTTGCGTTTAAGCAGCAGGGGGCGTCCACGTGTGGGTACCACAGGCCGAGCCATCAGTGGGTGCAACTTCACAAAGTCCAGGACCAGGGATGGCAAGTCTTGGGATGAGTTGTAGCCTCGGCTACGCAATGAATCTGTGATGCACTGGGGTGGGGAATGGGGATGGTGAATCTCAGGACTCTTCCACCTGCCTTCCATAAGGCCAGACCCTCCTCTCCCTCCCAGGGCTCTGGCCCTATGTCTGGGAGCTCACCGAGCCAGGCCGGGGCTCAGGCACCCCACCCTCATAGCGGCCCCAGCGCCGGACACCATCCTGGTATTCCATGTAGGGCCCCGCGAAGACAGCCTGCACCTCAGCCAGGTCATAGCGGCAGATGGCTGAGGCCTCCAAGGTCTTCCTAGGAATGGGACGTATAGGGGAAGAGACTGAGTCACACTGAGTGTAGCCTTCCCCAACCCATGTTTAGCTAGCCTGGAGCTACTGTTTCCTTGTCTAGACCTGACTATAGACACTCAGGGCCTGTTCCATGGGAGAGTGGCTGCTGTGGCCTCTGGCCCCAGGCTAGCTTGGTGCCTGATGTTCTCATTTTGCAGCCACTATTCTCCACAATGGACCTACCTTATCCTCACTGACCTCTGCTTCAGCCCAAGTTGTTCCCAGTCAATGCCTCCCCATTGTCCTGGCACTTACCACTGTGTGGTCAGTGTGAAAGTGGCATAGAAGTGTGTGCGGGCGGAGGTGTCAGCATCCAGGCTGCAGACCGCACGCAGTGTCTCATACTGTGGAATGTGACATATGAGACGAGCCTTGAGGAAGGATGTCCACTTCTTCTGCAGGATCTTCTTTCCTCCCAAATCTCCCTGGGGAGGTAGGGGGCAGAGGTTCAAGGACCAGGGTCAGAGATCAAGCCTCTACCCTATGCCCTGACTTCAGCCCTATGTACCTTGCACACACGGGCCACACGGGCCACACGGTGGCTGCTGCGGCTCTGAGTGAAGCTGCTGGAGCCTTCCTCAGCAGCACGCTCCGTGAAGAAGTAGTAAACCTTGTCATCGTCACCCACTGCACTGGCCTTGCTCTCCCGTACCAGCACAGAGAACACAAATTCAGCATCTGTGGGTTGAGCAGTTAAGTGTCTTCTGAGACAGGCTGGGGACCTCTGCCCCACCCTATCCCTCCCTTGACAACGCACAGGAGTGGAATGAATAGGCTCACCTGGGGACTTGGGGATGGGATGGTCAGCTGCCCAAGGGAGTAAAAATGAAGAAATAGACCCCTACCCCCCTTCATCCTGTGCCTCATCCTCCTAACCATTGAGCCAGTGCATTGGTGCCTCCTCAGTTCTCAGAGAATGTGGGTGGCGGCTCCGGCGGATGTCAGGAATGCTCCGGAATTCATACCGTGTGGCTGTGTAGAGGCCTCCATCTGAGGCAGGGACATGCCAGGAATGAGACATGTCATATACATCAGGGCACACAACACACGTAGGTGGCAAGTCCTATTGACAAGATCCACTAAATGCCATCCTTGTGAATGAAGGGCTGGGCGGGGAGGAATGCCTGCTTACCAATGATGAGGCCTGTGAAGCCGCGGGCTGGGTCATAAGGACACTTCTCCTTCCCCTCCTCGAAGCTGGTTGGAAGGGTGAAGGCCTCAGCATCCTAGGGAATGAGGTACCAACAGTCAGTCACAGGACAGGCATGGGCTGCAGCCCAAGGTTAGACCAGTCTAGGGTCAGCAGTCAGGGCTCGGGTCAGTCATACTCACAATGGCTGCACAGAGGGGCTGGAAGGCATGAGTCCCACATGCATAAAGGTGGGTGGCATTGAGCCGCTGTAGAAACCGGACATGGTTGAAACACTCGGTCTGTGGGATGAGGTAGTGGAGAAGTGTGAGTCCCCTGCTTAGCTAGAGGCCTCCTCCCTTAATCTATTTTAGAGTCTGTCTCTTTCCCCCACTCACAGGACAAACAGTTCTAAGATGCTCATGGGCCTTTGCATTGCCCAGATTACAAAATATTCCCTGGCACTCTCTGTCCTTAACCTACCAGTGACAAAGCTCTTGGATCACCTAACACCACAGCTTCTCCTGTGTCTCCTGGAGCTCCCTCCACCCCCAGTTCTGGAGCTTCCAGGGCTCCCACCACCCTGAGATGCTTTTCCCCCACTGAACTCCTTCTCAGGCATGTTCCTTGTCCAGGAGCTCCCACACCCTGCCTCTCTCTCTCCACCTGCCATCCCTTAGATACACCAAACTCACCTTGTCAGGAGGCAAACTCATCTCCTCCCTAACCTGCATCTTCCCTCCTAAACCTGCTCATCCAGTCTTTCCCACCTCATTCACTGCCTCCATCCTGTTCTCAAGGATGGAGCCAGGAGTCAGGAGTCATCTTCACTGCTTCTCACTCCCTCGCCCCCACATTCAGTCCCTCTTCATGATTCATTCTTTGTCCTAAATTGCTCTTGAACTTGGTCCAATTTACCTTATCACCACTGCCCAATTCAAATTACTACCATCATTTCTTTCTTGGACAACTTCAGCAGCCTCCTGACTATCCTCTGCAACTCTTTTTGTTCAGTGAATGAGGAATACTTGCATGTAGTATGAAATTTGAAAAGGTATAAGGGGATGTGTTGTAATCAGTCTCCCATTTATTCCTGTCTCCCAGGTAGTCTGTGACTGGGGACTGCTACTACCACTGTCTGGAGCTTCCTTCTAGAGATGTTCTACCAATCAACACACTCTTGCTCCTCTCCAACCCAATTCTCAAAGCGCATTTCACAAATGTAAACTAGATCATATCATTGCAGTGGCTCATCAGTGCCCTGAACAGAGTCCCTCAAGCCCCTGGCCCTGCATCACTGGGCCCTGCCCCTTACCCCTGTCTCGGCCTCACTCACTCAATTCTAGCCACACTGGCCTACTCTGTCTTTCAAATGCCCTAAGCTACCACTCTCTTCACTTCTCTGCCTTGTTAATGATTCTTCCTCCTGTCTGTTGCCCAGGGTTTGAGTCTACACAGTCTTCTCTATCTCCTCCCACTCTCTCACCTGCTGTAGCCCCTGGCATCTGTCCCTTCGTTGTTAGCCTTCTCAGTCCTCTTTCCTCTGACCCATAGGATACTACTCCAGCCTCACCAATGCTTTTCCTGTCTCTAGATTCAGCCTATTTGAGTCTTTCTGGTGTCTGGGCCAGATAAACTTTCCTACAGTGAGCTTACCCTAAGATGTTTACATTTTAAAAGCCATCCCTGCTCTGTCCCAGGACACACACTGCTTTCAATTCTGGGGAGGAATTCTGTGGTCAAATAAGTTTGAAAAACCACAGGTAAAACCTATCTTAGAAACTTAAAGATATTGCTGTGCATTGTGGAACTGAACATGCAACACTTTCCAAACAAACTGGATCATTAAACCCCTCTTTTGAAAATTAATCTCCCTCAGCACAATGAGAAACAGTCTCAGAAGCCTTCCCACTCAAAGTGTTGTATGGGAACTACTGCCTCAGCGTCACCTGGGAGCTTGTCAGAACTATAGAATCCTAGGCCCTTTCCAGACCTACTGATTTAGCATCTGTATTTGTAATATACCCAGGTGAATCACATGTAGTTTGAGAGCCCTGAGATAAGGTATTAAATGTGAGGGTGCCCATTGTCATAGAATAAAATCCAAAGCCTCTGCTGGGCATTATGGCCTTCCATGACTAGGGTTCTACTTATCTCACTAACCCTGTTATCTACCCACACTGCACCAAGAGGCAGCCTTTTATAGAATCTCCTGGATTCTCCTCTTTAAATTCAGCTGTCCCAGCATCACCCCAGAATCAAGAGTCTCCAGGCCAGTGAAACTTGGGAATGTGTACTTTTAAAAAAGCTTTCCAGATAGATTCTGTTACATAGTTAGATGCAGGTCCCTTGCAAACACCATGTTCTTTAGCCAGATAGGGCTGGCATTTCCATAATGCCCCTCCATGGAATAGTGGGTACTAGAGCTAGTCCCCCACCAAAACCTCATTTCTGTTATCTGTAAAATGGGGAAATATTACTTCATAGTTATTTTAGAACTTGAGGAAGATAACAGCTAAGTGAGCACTTACTAGAGGTTACTTCTTATTATCATGATTATAATTTGGGAGTTCAGAGGGGATTAAGATGCCCTGATAGGACAAACTATAAGCCACCAGATGTTTGGATTAGAAGGGCTACACCCCAGGTCTGCCACTCCAGCAGCACTCAGTTTTTTTTTGTGGTTGAAAAGTTGACTGGGGAGTCTGTACCACCTCATCTGTGTCCCTATCAACCCCGGCATCCCCAACTGAGGAGAAGGAAGGAGCTGGAGACAGGGCAGACCACCACATACCTGGTTGTTTTTCCCTTTTTGATGACATTTGCTTTGCATCTCTGGGGAGGCCTCCCACTGGATCTAGCAGGGGTAAAGGGAATGGATAGATGCATTGACAATACCCATTACCCAGAGGGTTCAAGGGAGCTGGAAAAACTGGGATGGGGTGAATAGTAGGAGGAACACTGGATGCAAGGGAGACCTGGGCTGGGAAGGGAAGTGCTGTCCAAGGGGCTATGGAAGTCTGGCAGGGTTCTGGGAAGCTGAGGTCCCTGTGAACAGGATAAGGCTAAAGGCACTGAGGGTGGTCCAAGTTTCAGGGGCTGACCTCTTTGTGAGCCCCATCTCCTATGTCATGGGCACTGAGAGAGAACAGGGCGCCTCGAGCTCCCACCAGCAGCCTTGCAGAGGCCTCCTCCAACAGCAATGTTGAATAGTTCTGGGCTTGGCCCTTGAAGTGCCGGGTCCCGGAGAGCTCTAGGGAGAGCAGAGGCAGTGAGCCCAGTTTGGGGGCTGCCCCCTGCTCCCAGCCCTGGCTGCTGTGGCCTTTGAAGATTGAGGGTCTAACCTTCATAGGAAATGGTCATCCGTGGGGTGGCATCTAGTTCTCGGGAAGGTCGCCGCAAGGAGGGTCCAGGGACAGCTGTTGCTGTGAGGAGGCTCAGGAAGAGGGGCCAAAGCCTCCCCAACATCTTCTTGGGGAGGCCCAGACCAATAAGACCCCCAAGGGTAGCCAGGGCCAGTCACAGGAGGAGATGGGAAACACAGTCACAGGGGTCAAAGTCCAGGAAGGTCACATGGAAGGTCAGGGGACATGAGGCCTTGGGGTCAAGAAGTCATGGGGCCAGGGAGGATCCTGGAATGGGGGGGACATGGAGCCACAGGGTTGTGTGGCCATGGAATCTCAGCTATGGGGTCAGAGGGAAGGATGGATCACATGCCTTTCTGCATCAAATGCAAACTTCATGGTAATCGGAAGTTGCGGAGTCATAGAGGGTTCGTAGGTTACTGATGGGTCACCTTGCCCCTGATAGCAGGGCTATTCCTGGTTCTTTGAGGTCCATTTTCTGAAGGAGGGGGGGAAAAAAACCAAAAGAGGATAAAAATCTCTTTGATCTGTGGGCAAGTGGAAGATTGTTGGCATTACCCAGTCTTCAGGGACACCAAAGGGTGGAGGTCCAGCTTCCATAGAACTCCTAGGACAGAATTGACTCATTCCTGTTCATCTCTGTTCTGATGCAGGAGGCTAGGATGGGAACTTGACCTCTTTATCTGATCCTGGACTCCCTCCAACTCAAACCCCAAGTAACACCCCTTCTTTGGCCAAGTCAGAAGCTCTTCTAGGTCCGCTTTGAGGTGGAATTTGTGTTCTCAAAAGAGAATGCTTCTTCAACAATGGGCAGCTGCTGCCCCTGCTGCCTGTGGGGGTGCCTTATGCAGGAAGGCCTGAACAGAGATGTTTAATGGGCCTTTGTTAATTTTGTCCTGTTTTCCTTTTGTTTTTTTCTTTTCCTTGGCCTGAGAGCTCCCTCTGGAATTTCTCTTTAATTAGACACTTCTCCTCCTCAGCATTCTTCTCTGGGGGGTGCACATCTCTGCCCTGCCTATGCGAGTCTGTACTGCACCCTCTGGCTAGGCATCCACACGTGTCCCTACCTGCTAGCAGGCATTCCACAGGCACAAGGGGGTCAGAACCAGGTATGAGTATATGGGTATCCCTAGCTGCACAGGTATAACATCTGTGCAGGAGACTGTAGTGTGCAAGACCAGTTAATGGAGACACAAGCAATGTGGATAAGGTGGATGGTGAGATCTCTGAGTTCTTGGCCACCTTCCCTGGCACATCTTGGAGATTATTCCCGTACCTGGATCCTCCCTCAAGCCAACAATTGGGATTGGGGGACAGGCTTTCCCTGGCACCTTTTACAGGTCTCCTGATCTCTGAGGGGGGTCCTTCATTTTCCCGGCCTGGGCTTGGTGTGGAGGTGGTTCAACTCACCTCATCTCATCAGATACCCAGAAGCAGGGTCAGAAGGTGCCACTGGCCTCTCCTCTTTCTTCCAGGTCAAATATTAACTATCTGGCCTTGAAGAGAGGGGAGGGATCAAGAGCTGGCTAGAGGATAACAGGAATTTGGAGGGTTTATTCAAGAGTTAAAGGTCAGCATGGGAGGGGAGAGTGAATATGAGAGGGAGAAGAGAGGGCCTGCAGATCACAGAAAGGGCACTAGTTCCTGATTTGGGGGCTGGGGCAACAGGAAGTTTCAGGCAAGCTTCTCATGTTCCACCCCTCACTGTGGAGGCACACCTGTTTACCTTTGGGGCCTCCTATTTGCTTAGCACAGAAGCGGGGAGCCCTATAGCCAGGAGGGATCAGTCCCTAGGATTGGGCAGAATGAACACACCCCAGGTTAAAGGAACCACTCAGAGTGCAGTACATGGCACATTTATACAGGTTTATCCTGAACCACATGGGTCCAAAGGAAGGTGATGTACATGCACAGGTGTGAGTATACATTCACAGGGAGGGCTATGAACACATGTATTCACAGGAGAGTCATTCACACACTCACACTCACAGGGAGGTTTGTGCACACTTATGTTTACATGGAGAGTCATGGCCATGTGTAGTGATACATTTCACATGTAAGGTTGCATTCATATGCCCATCCATTTTTGGGGGGGGTATACCAGGGATTGAACTCAGAGGCACTAGACCATTGAGCCACATCCCCAGCCCTATTTTGCACTTTATTTAGAGACAGGGTTCACTGAGTTGCTTAGCACCTCGCTTTTGCTGAGGCTGGCTTTGAACTTGTGATCCTCCTGCCTCAGCCTCCTGAGCTGCTGGGATTACAGGCATGCACCACTGCACCCAGCGGATGATCAGGGTTCTAAACCTACATATGTGGGCTTATATAAAGGGCTGTATACCTATTCAACAGGAGAGTCCTGTATAGGTATACACAGGTGTGTAGGGACATGCACACAAACCCACTGAGTCAGGCATACTAATGTTCACAGAAGGACCAGCTACATGTTGTGTTCACACAATACTCAAACACAATTACAACCATGTAGGGACAAGCACACATGCATACAGGGGTCTGATTCTTGCTGCAGGCTTGGTGGCTAACAGTGTTCACTGGGGTGAGGTGCAGAGCAGGACTGTAGGTAGCTTCCTTTCCCAAAGTCCCAATTCAAAGGCCAGATTCCAAGTGTGTATTGTGGTTCTGTGTGGGGATGGGGGACATGGGGATGTTGAGGGGAGGCTTCTGGGCTTCTGACCTGGAATGAGTGCATAGGTCAAGGCTACTCTGCAAGGGAGGGAGGAGGTAACTAACCCAGTCAGGAGGAGGTCCTTAGTTTTATCAAAGAGGGATGGAATGAAGTGCAAAACATAGCAGTCTTCCATCTCCATGCATACTGCAGTTCTAGATTTGGGGAATTAAGGATAGAAGTAAGTGGGAGCTCATAGCCCCCACTTAACCTGCTGGGAGGGATGACAGGCGGGGCTAACCAGACTAGGCAGAGCATTCATACCCCCTCCCCCAGTGGCTAAGCGGGTTCAAGGTCTCCAGTTCACACCCCACACTTCACCCTGAGTTCTACAGTTCAGGATGCCAGTCCCCTGAACTCCTATCACCTTCTCACTATTAGGTACTAAGGTGGAGAGGACTGGGGAAGGATGCCCCCCGCCCCCAACAGGATCAATGGAGGATCAGCAGGCTCTCGACCTTCATCCCAGATGTCCACCTGCCTGTAGGCGGTATCTCCCTCTGCCCAGTAGGATGGCGGTCTCTCCTGGCTAGAGAGAGCCCCTCCCTTGCCACCCCCTCCCTCCACCATTCTGGACAGTCCGTGGTTCTCTCCTTTCGACAGATCTAACCTCAGTCTCTACTGCTGCAGCTCGAGGACAAGCTCTCCTTCGATCGCGCTGGACGCCGAGAGACGTGACCCAGATCCAGAGGAACACTGTTCACCACGCGGGTCCCCGCCCCGCTCCGGTCCCAGACTCCGCGGCGGCCGGTCTGCGCCCTGCGCGACCTGAGGCCTGGCCAGTGCCCCTCTAAAGCCTTTATGCAGGACTGGGGGTCTTGGCAGTGAGAAAGGCCTGGCCCAGTTCATAGGGTGGAGTGGACGTGGGGAAGGCTTTGCCCGGCTCCCGACCCCCAGCCCGGGCCTGGCCCCGTCGGCTGCCCGCACTCTCCGCCTTCCTCACCTTTGCGCGTTGGGATCCGGGGCCACAGAGACAGCGACGCGCGGTTCGGCGGCCGCACAGCACCAGCTGCCGGAGGAAGGGGCCGCGGCCAGAGGCGGGGCGGGGGTGGAGGCGGAGCCGGGGGTGGGGCGGGGGCCTGGAGGCGGGCCCACGGGCGGGGTGCGGGGAAGGCCGCTCTCTTCTTTCGCGCCCCCCACCCTAGCACAAAGGAGATGGCTTGAAGGTAAGGCTCACAAACAACCTTAGGGCATCTGGCGTCCCAGCTCTTCTAGGCCAAGCGACCTGGGTACCGCCCCCTACTGGGGGCTCTTGCCCAACCCGGTCGCCCTCCACAGGTTTGGCGCCCGCCCTCCCATTCTCTTTAACCTTAGGATCTCTCCCATTTGTCTACTGCAGGTGACCAGGAAATTTTGTCCTTTGAGGTTTTCCCTCTCCGATAGCCCTCTGGTCTGTTTCTAACTTCGACCTCACTTCTTGGGTCCCACCCCGCTGCGTGTCCGGCTCTCAGCTTAGGGTACAATAACAGGGTGGGTGTGGGGTGGGGGTTGGGGCTACAGTAGGTGGGGACCAGGCATCCGGGCAGCTCTGAACAAAAGGGCCTCCCTCTGCCTGACTGTTCAGCTTGAGGTCTGAGTAGGTGGAGGGGATGAAGTGACAGTTTGACCTGAAGTGCTCCCAGAAAAATGCCCTTTTCTGAATAAATAAATCACAACCTTTTTTGGGGGGTGGGGCGAGTACCTGGGATTGAAATCAGGGGCACTTAACCACTGAACCACATTCCCAGTACTAGGGCCTAGCTAAATTGCTAAGGCTGGCTTTGAACTTGGGATCTTACTGCATCAACCTCCTGAGTCGCTGGGATTACAGGCATGTGAAGTCACAATCTTTTGCACTGACTCACTCACCAAATCTTAGCCCTAACTCAGTTTCCCCTCAGAGACTGGGTCACTCAGACACCTGCCTTCCCCTCTAGCTTCTCTTGAACATTCTTACTCCAAAGTTTCCAGTGCATGTTCCCAAGCAAATATCCTTTCCTTGCCAGGTTTAATCCCTTTCCAGCAGCAATTCAGAAAACCCCCTTGGAATCAATTCCTCAACTCCTTTAACTAGGATGTTTTTCTGCAAACATAGGCCCTGCCTCCTTTCTATTGCCTCAATAAAACCTGAGCTCTGGACATGACCCAAACCAATCCCCTCCCCCACTAAAATCCATGACAACATTGATCTAGGCCCAAGAGAAGGATCAAGTAAAGGGCCACAGGAATGGACTCTTGCATGTGTCCAGGAGTTTGAACAGGATCGAGGCTGCATATTTAACTGAAGGGACCCTGAGAAAGACACTTCATCCTTCTTTCTGGAATCCTTAAAGCTCAGAGTTTGGTACTTAATCCTATAAAATCTCATTGCTTGGAGTGCAGTGTGACTGCAGACTGCTAGACAGCAGGACTCATATCACACTTCCACCCCCACCCCTTAAACTTGTCTACCAGCACTATGAAAACAGGGTGTGTGTGTGTGGTGGGGGGTGGCTTGGAGAAACACTCATATTAAAAAATGCACACACACTTTATAGGGTGCCCAGCTAAATTTTTTTTTTTTTTGGGTAGTACTGAAGATTGAACCCAGGGGCATTCTACCACTGAGCTGCAGCCCCAGACCTTTTTATATTTAAGGAGGTCTCACTAAATGGCCGAGGCTGGACTTGAATTTGCAAATCTCTTACTTCAGCCTCTGTAGTAGCTGGGATTACAGGCGTGCACCACTGCTCTTGGCTCATTTCTTTCATTGTACCCTCATCTCATCCTGAGGAATTAGTAGTCCCATTTTATAGATGGGAAACAGGCTC